ATATAAAAATATTTTTTTATATATTTTTTTTAATTTTATATTAATTTTTAAAAGTGTACTTAATTTAGTACAAAGGGTAAATCCAAACCATTAAATTAATAATAAACAAAATTTTACTATATTAGTATTAGAAATACATATTAAAACAAAATATCTAGCTATTTTAGTATCTAAAATAGTACAAGTGATCTTATGATAACTACATAACCAAATTTGACTAGAATTGTTTATTTTAATTCTATATCTATAGAATTATTATATTTAGTTCGATCATTTTTATAAATGCTAGAAATAGCTAGGCACTCTGCATTAAAATAACTATCTAAATTAAGAAATAAAATATGCATAACGATAAATACTACATATGCATATATAATAATTTGAAATGTTTTATACAACTAAATTAAAATAATTATAAAAAAATATAACAATAAGGTTTTATAATGAATAATAATAACAATAGTAATAATTGTTAAAGTTCAGTTGAGAAGTACTTAGTGCTAAAGTTAATAGTATATTAAAAAAAATTTTATTGGTTCTCAAATGTATAAAAAATATAATCATCAGTAAGTTAAATATTATATATTAGTAATAAATGATGTAATTTTGACATATTTAATATAATCAATTTAAGTTAAATTTTATATAATAAAAAATTTGAGTCAAATATTATATGTATAAGAAATAAAAAAAATTTTCAAAAAACTTAAAAATTTAATCACTTCTTTTATTTTTTAAAAAACTATTAAAAGATCAATTAGACACTACTATTGAATAATAGTAAAATATGCTTTATAATTTAATAACAGACTTAACTAATTAATAATATTATAAAGTTTTAGAATGTTGCAAGATTTCAGAATAATATAAGGTTTTAAAAACAATATAATAATTACAAGTATTTAAATTGTACTTATAGATAAAAAAAAAATAGAAAATATAAAAAAAAACAAGTTTTAATAAGAAATATTTGAATCTGAAACTTATTATTTTAATAGTAAAATTCTATAACAAGAAGTTTATAAAATATTTATAGAGATTAGTGTATAGCAGATGATAATTATATTTTCACTAAGAAATCTGTATATAAATAACCTGTAAAAATAAAGAAGCATGGTTTAAATCATATATTGATAAATTATATTTATTATAAATAAAATCAAAAACTGTAAAGAAAACTCTAATACTACTATAAAAAAGAGAATATCTTTAACTAGTATACAAAAAAAGAATTATGTGAAAAAAGCTTAATAATCCTAATTTAAAAGAGTAAATTTAGCTAATAAGTATAGAATAAGAAAACAATCAATATCTGATATTCTTAAATGCTCTGGTTAGGTCTCAATGATACTTCCAATTTAATTCAAGTTAAATATTAAAGAAAGCCTGATAATCCTAAACTTGAAGAGGCAATATTTACTTGGATTAAGCAAGCAATTAAAAATGAACTTACTCTATCTGGTTATCTTCTTCAAGCCAAGACTAAGAAATTAGCTAATCAATTTAAAATTACTGAATTTAATGCTTCCAATGGTTGGCTCACTAACTTTAAAAAAAGAAATGTTATTTCTTCTTACTGATATCGAGGAGAAGCTAGTAATATACCTTTGGAAGATATTTTAAAATTTTGTTTAGAACTTCAAGATATTCTTCAAAATTATGAACCTAAAGACATATTTAACTGTGATGAAACAGCACTTTTTTGATGACTTGAGCCAAGCAAAACAATTGCCCATAGTCCAGTTTTAGAGAAAAAAAAATCAAAGAATAGAGTTATGGTTATGGTTACTTGTAATTCTACTAGCAATAAAAAATTACTGCTTTTTTTTATTCACAAATACAAAACTCCACATGTTCTTTATGATATTGAAAAATCTACTCTTCCAGTTTGGTATTACTAAAATTAAAAGGTGTAGATACAAAGAAGTCTATTTAATTATTTTTTAGAACGATTTAATAGTCAAATGAGGCTTGCTTAATGAATCATTATTTTGCTCTTTATCACACAATTTAAAAAATATTCAAGATTTATAAAATATTTATATACACTTTTTATCACCAAATACAATATCTTGTCTTTAACCTATTAATTAAGGAATTGGTTATAGCTTCAAGATAATTTTTAAATATATAATTTTTAAATATATAATTTATAATTTTACTATTCAATAAAAAATTATATTTATTTATTTTTTTTTTGTAGACACAATATCAGCATATTTTTTGTCAAAGCTGACTTGAAGCTTATGATGCAATTACTGAAGAAATCAGATTTCTCCTGATATTATATTATATGATGCAATTAATTTTGCAGCTCAAGTATAGAAAAATATTACTTTAAATACAATTATTCATAGCTGGAATAGAGCTGGTATACTTCTATTTATAGAAATCTTGGATGATAATTTTACTTCTATATATGAAAAAACTGAATCAAAAGTCTCTGTATCTAAGAAGCTGAATTGGAAGTAAAAATTATAAATCTTATTAAACATTTACCAATTGATGATCTCTTAGATATACAAGAGTATATCAAGGTTGATAACTATATAAATGTTGAAGAAGACTTAACTATAAATAAAATTGTTAATATAGTAAACAGACAAGATAAGAGTGAATCAGAGAAGAAATAGTTAAACTTGGTGATGCAATCATTGGACTTGATAACTTAATAAAATATATTCAGCATAATGATCTAGAAATTACTTTATCTTTAATGAAAGATTTGTATAACCTTAAAAAGTATATTATCTATTTGTATAATGAAAGTAAAAAACAAGCTATATTAGAAGAATTTATTAATCTTACAGTTTAGAAATTTTTATTTTATTTTTCAAATAGTTAGTAATACAATATTACTATTATAAATATAAGCAAAATTATAAGTTTATTAAATATAACAATTTTATATAAATAAAATATATATTTAATTCTTTAATAAGAAAGTTAGGGTCTTGTAGCCTAGTGGTCTAGGTGCCTAACTCTCCATAGACGAGGTCAATAGTTCAATTCTAGCTAGTAGTAATTAATAATAATTAATTATTTTTGTAATCTACAGGAGCTTTTGAATGTAAAACTCTGTAGTAGTAAGACCATGTAATAGTACTTATTTGGCTGATAAAGAATTCTTGGAAGGAGTCCCGAGCCATAGAGAAGATTGGGTACTATGTGTGACATAGGTTATAAAAGGTAATACTTCAGAAGGCTGTGTGTGTAAATCTACAATTGGCAAGATAGCATCAACAACCCTAAGGCAGCATTGGGATCTTGATTGGGAGGATAACTGTATGTGGTATACCAGAAGTGGTAAGAGAAGTGGTGAATACAGTAAGAGGCTGTGGTAAAAGAATGGCTTTACCAAATAAAGGAACAACTCTGGCATATAGAAACAAGCAAAATTAGTTAAAGAAGTCAGAAACATATAGCAAGCATCTTGGTAATACAAAAAAAATTTGGCTAGTGGGTAATAGTCGCACAACTAGCATGGGAGTTGTATGACAAAGCATAACAAGAGTACTGGGTCTCAAAGTACTAAATTGTAGCAGTACTTAAAAGAGATTCTCAACTCCCATCCTAAGGTTCTAGGCTCCTGTAATACTATGAGTAATGGTAGTACTATAAACAAGATAGTAGCCCGAATTGGTAGTGTAAAATATAAACACCCAGAAGCACAAGTAGGGAACTGCAACACTGCGGGGCAAGACCCAGAATGTCTATGACATACTTATAGATTGTCTTCTGGAGACACCAAACTGGAAGTACCAATAACGCCCACCTCTAAGACACCAATTTGGAAGTAATACAAGAAGCAGTTTGGAAGTAATACTATATATGGAAAAGACAGCAGTAATTGGTAAGATTTGTACAGTAGTATATATGTGGGATATATATGAAAAAAATATAGGTAGTAGAACCTTGCCGATGAATTGGAAATTGGTGGCTGAACCCCATTGCACTATGGGGCATCCACGGGGCTATTAAGACTCAAGGAGGTTAAATATACTGAAATAGTTATATATAGGTGCTATATAGTAACCAGGTGAGTCATACTTCATTAATAATATAGACAATTCCTTCAGAAAATTTTTTACATAGATATATATCAATATATAGTAATAAATCGATATATATTGATTAGAAAATAATGGTATATATCGATAATTTAGGCTAAATAACGATATATAACTAAAAAACGATATATACCGGTAAATGATAAATATCGTTAAATAACTAATTATTGATATATATCGATT